CTTTCTCAGTTTGCTTGTTATCTGACACCTGACACCTCCTCCTCTAGCTGTTCTAGAGAATTCTTCAGTCTTTTGTCAAATTGGGGTAGGGACAATGGGGAATGAGGACCTTAGAGGGTTCCCCCATATATTTCTCTCCATTTTCATCTATTCTAGGGGTATATGGTATACTTAATTCTGAGCCTTTTGGAAATTCTGATATTAACATTGGACTTAGACTCTAGGATGTAATAAGGTAAATATCTATCTATCATCTACCTACCTATCATCTATCTATCTATCTATCTATCTATCTATCTATCTATCTATCTATCTATCTATCTATCTATCATCTATCTAATCTGTCCAACTTATGGAATTTAATTCTTTTACCTTTATGGCAATGGATTTTCATTTCAAGATGCTAAGGTACTACTGTTGCTGTCACAAACATTAAAAAGAAGTAGATTTTAGTCATGCATTCAGTCCATTGTCTATAGCTAGAAGCAGCAACAGCTGATTCTAAAGGGCCAATGACAGCAAAGGTCAGAATAGGATCAGTGTCCACAATAGAGACTGGAGAAATCAGGCCCTATCTGCAGCAGGGTCTAGTTTTTTGTTGTTGTTATTGTTGTTGTTGTTGTTTTTGGGGATTTTTGTGTGTGTGTTTTGTTTTGAGTATCACAGTTTGTGTTTTATTAAGTATAGATGATCAGGGAAGAGTGATGGCAATGATTCAAGATACCAAATAAGCTTACAAGACAATCCACTAAATAACTTGTTGATATGACTTTAGACAAAGTCTGCAAAGATAATTCCACCAAAATTTGAATGCATTCTAGAGGAATTCATGGGCTCACCTTATTAGCACTTTGTTCAAATGTTTTAGAGAGATAAAAGTATAATAGATCTTAAATATTTCAATTGACTATTATATTCACACAGTTAGATGTTAAGCTTTGTTTTAGATAATATAGAAAGACTATACCAACCAATAATAAACTGCATTTGGCTTACTGTAAGGAGAGCCTACAAAAGAGGTGTCTCTTACTAATGCAAATAGTTAACATACATATGTGAATTTGATGAATAAGGATATTAACCGAAAATTTTTTCCATGTATTGATTGAATAGCATGATTGAAAATTCCAAATTTTCCTAAGAAGTCATACAGTTTGATATTCATTTATAAGATTTTTATATTAATTTTTTAGAATGGATAGGTTAAATTTATCCTGTGACTGCAGTTTGTGGTCTCTAATACTTCAGTCAAACATCCACTCTATCATTTTAGTCATCCATGTGAGGTTGGCTCCTCATGAGTCTAGTATGCCTTCAGTGTAAAGCTGAGCTAAATAATGTCTAATTGCTTTTTTTCTTCAAAGTCTGATTGGAAAATTTCATATTGCTTTAATGTACTTACCTATAGAGTAATTTTGTCCAGTGTTTGATATGCAAGTTTTACTTTTCCTTCTTTCAGTTTACTCTTTCTTGTTATATAACATCATAATCTAAGCTGTATATGTTGTGATATGTATGAAGGATATTTTATGTTTGGCTCTTTCTGTAGCATAAATTATATTAAGTATTAATTTTCATTTTCCGTAGTCTATATGGCCATTGCATTTCCTAAAATTTATTCAGCAGAAAAACAATATGTGCATGTAGAGTCACAGTAATCATTATTTTAAACATTGGGATATGGATGGTGGTCATTATCTATTCCCATCATTTAAAAGGTCTTAAGACTTATCATATACTTGGTGATAGTATAAGATAATATATTTTGCAGAGTTAGGTAAGAGAAAATATTACCTTGTACTTAGGAAGCATGTATTCTCAAATGAAGAGACACATGAACATCTATTAGAAACAGTTTATGGTCTAGACAATCCAAAATATAATTCTATTTTATGGCAAATATGCTTGAAAGCTTTTGAATTCTCTTGGGAATCAATAAGGCAAAATATAGTGAAACTTGATGAAGATATACTCCATTTTCCTGATCAGGACATTTTCTGCATTCTATAAAATAAATGTTTTTACTGATTTTAGAATTTCATATAATGCCTTTAATTTCATAGAATCCATTTAGATACCCTGACCCCTCTCATGACCACTTTACTACCCCATCCCCAAATTGATGTGTTTTATTATTATTTGTCATCTTTTCTAAGGCTTATTGAGAGTCTAATCTATGTTTCCAAAATGCTCTTGGGTTTGGGTACATCCCTTGGAGTTTGTTCAACCTCCTGGTCATCATACCAGTGAGAAAAACTGACTCTCCCTCTCCCATCATCTATCAGTTGCCAACAGATCTTCAACTAGGGCTGGGGCTGGTAGTTGCACATATGAGCCCTCAGGACCTGTGACAACATGCACAAGATCCATGTAGACCCAAACCAAACAGGGATTCTAGGGCACTTTGGCCCCTAGTCTTCTGTTTCATTTCTCCCACTACATTCAAGCTGGAAACATGCCTTATTAAATGGTTAATAGTGAGAAAGGAGATGCATAAAAAAGCAATAATGGAGAATAAGTGCTAGCAACCAAATAATTAGCTTTCAAATAATTAAGCATTAAAATGAGTGCCCCTGAATTTAATAAGGAAGCTTTGAGTAGTTTCTAATGAATTTTAAAGCATTTAACTTCTCTTCTCATAATACAGTGTTAACTCTTTCCATATAACTCTGATTTCTTTCCATAAAGAAAATAAAGGAAATGAAGAAGACAATTGTGTTATCTCTATAAATACAGATCCCATTCAGGAGACAATGACTAGGAGAATGAAGATATAAACACTTCATTATCTTCATAGCATGTTGAAATAAGAAAGATGCCAACAGCTGAGGACAAGGCTTGTCATTTTGAAAGTAGCAGTCTCATGACTGAGAAAGTTTAAAGATGTGCAAAAACAAGATGACAGCTTTCATAAAAAGAAAACCGGGGTTTGAATGTGACTGTTGCGTTTATAGAGGATCTTCCAGGAAGATCTATGGCAGGTATTATTCACTGCAGGATACCGGAAGGTGTAATATGCTGGAATAAGGATCACATTTTTCTCTTTGAGGTGATTTATATTTAAATGATTTCTCCATAATCCTTTAAACTGAAGTGCAAATTGGTTATCAAAGTCTTTTGCTGTAAGGGTTGTTTTACATAATAATGAATTCCACAGAAGTTCCTCAAAGGGAAATATTGATTTCAGCAACATCACAGGGTATTTCAGTTACAACAACACATAGATCATGGCCATAACACAGAAAAACTTTATAAAACTAAATTTCTTTGCTAAAGAAACACAGGCAGTGCACCTTTCTCAGTATAAAATGTTTGCCATAGAAAATTTTAGTAAATATCGTTCAGTTTAATCTATCATGTCTCTTTCATATTGACATGGTGATAAGAATACACTAAATGATGCGTATATGGCTCCTGGTTTTATTTTTAAAATACAAGTCGAATATCATTAATCTAAAATGCTTTAGACAAGAAATGTTCCATAGCTCACCCCAAAAGAAAGACTTCAGTCCTCAACCCTGGTGTTAAAAAGCTTACCCGCAAAAGGTAGGTTTAAGTCCTTACCCCTGGGGTTAAGAGTCAACAGGCAGGCAGGCTCTTGCTTCAGCTGAAGAAACTTAGGTCCCACCCGAGTCCTCTAAGTCCCAATCAGGAGCCCCAAATCTCTGCCAGGAACTATAGATCCAAACAATTCTCATTTACTAGGTGTGACCTAGGTAGCCTCACTCCAGAGAGCCTGGAAAGCAGCTGTGGGGAAATCCGGAGATCTGGTTGGTCACAGGACCCATGTCTATCACAAACTAGAGATGTGGCTGTAGAAAAATTAATTTACCTCTTCGTGACTCTGTTTAGTCTTCTATGAGAAGAACTTGGATTTATTAATTAAGACTGGCAATGTTGAGTTTGAAAATGTCCTGCGTTTTTGTTATATTTATTTATTTATTGTCTTTTTGAGACAAGGTCTCCCTGTAGCTCCCAGCTGACCTGGAACTCACTATGTAGACCAGGCAGGCCTTGAACTCATAGAAATCTGCCTGCCTCTGCCTCCCAAGTGCTGAGACAAAAGTGTGCCACTGCCACGCCCGGCTTTATTAATAACTTTTTAAATTCTATTGTTCATTTATTTGTTTTTTAAAAAATTAAATTCTCAGTAAATTATGTGCTGTGTGGAATCCCAGGATATAACACACACAGGCAGAGTTATTAACACAGTCCTTTAAACAGGGGTTGGTTTGAAGAAGCCATGAGTTTATATATACCTTCTGTGTCTCCTTTTAACTTCCATCCCATCTCTGAAGCAGCTTGGGAGCCACCCAACACCTTGCACAGCACAATTCTCAAACTATAGAATACACAATTCTCAAACTATAGAATAGCTTTAATTTCATTCCAGTTCTCATTTTCTGTGTTCTCAAAACAATGTACAGGAAAAAGCATGACAGCTGTTTTAGAACATAGCTGGGATCAGGGCTTCTAATCCAGAAAGAAGCCCAGGTGTGCAGGACCAATCAAATAAACTGGCCCATGGATTGCCAGATGCTTGCTCCTAGCTTCCAGGTTTTTGAAATTGGGCACAGAGGTTCACAGGGTGACTGCAAAGATAAGAATTGGGCTTTCTAATGTGATTTTTGAAATCTGTTCTATTATCCTCTGGCTAATTTAATGAAATATGACCATTATTTTAGTCTGATAACACTTTTCCATTAATTGCCTTTACTTAATATTGACAAATTCTTGTTCAATTTTGATTAAGCTATTGCTGATTTTTTTTAACCAAAGTATTTACCCTTTTAAAAATTAATCTTAGAAATACAGGTTCTTGTTCTCAAAAATAGCTCTATCTCACTTAAGTGCAATTCTTGGCCTATGGGATTTGTTTGTGCATCTGTGTTAGCTTAGCACACTCCGCAGTTGTCTCCCTGGGCCTGCCTTCCATGATCGATGGTGTTTCATTGGTTTAATTCCAACATGTCCGTGGCCATAGATTGTTTTCCACTTACCTGCTTCAGCCTTCTGCTGCTTCTCAATTTTCTCCAGGCGCCCTAGCAAGGAGTCAATTTTAGTTTTGATCTGGGTTAATTCTTTCTTGATTGTCTGTAACTCATCTGATTTCACTGGAAGAGGAAAGGTGGAAAGAAAACAAAACATCAAATGTGCCGTAACTCACTAAGACACGATTCAAGACAATCTGAGGCTCAAGATTGTCACATAAGATACCTTTCGATTCATCAGCTTCTTGTCACATTTAGTGATCCAAGAAAAGTGACTGACTTAGCTGAATAAAAATAAAGATTATCTGTAACTCGAGAATTTGATACCCAATCTTTTAGCTGAAGGCCATTCAAAAAAGGGATAAAAGAATAAACAAACATTTTATAACAGAATGGTGCCAGGGTAAATTTGGCATGTAATAGAATATTCAATGTAAAATCAACTTGGGTTAAGGAGTTGTAATATGTATTTTAATACTTTGACTCGGCATATTGTAATATATAACATGTGTTTATTTCTTTAAGACAGGGTCCCAATATGTAGTCCATGATGCTCAAAACATGGCTGTGTAACCCACAACTCCTGGATAGATGTCAATGATATTTTTAATTCAGCTCTTTGGAGAGTTGTTTGAAACGAAACCTTAGCATTTATCCTCTAGAAAATATTTTAGAGGCTAGAGAAATCGTTTTAACTCTGACTCACTACTTCCTCTATTCATTCTAAAAGATAAGGTAACATTATAATTTCTCGCTTTAAAGGCCAGGGCTTGGTGGAAAGGAACCACATGTAAAGTCCCACTGTTTTTTTAAATTAATTACTAAATTTGTGATTTATTAATTTTTGAATGTTTCCCAAACGATCCTTGAACTCAGAATCCTCCTGTCTCACCCTCTTGAACTCTGGAGTTACAAATGGCACACATTTAACCTCACTGATACATCTATAGTAACGTGTTCCAATATTAGATTTTCAATGCTTAGTCTGATTTCAAAGAAAGAAAGTAGAGGCTGATACTATTGACAACTTTCATTTTGCTTAGTAGGATTGCTAACAGCAACAAACATGGGGTTGGGAGTTCAGCTTTGTACCAAAGTGTTTGCTTAGCAAGCAGTAGACACTGGGTTTGGTCCCCAGCACTGGGGTGGGGGGGAACCACAAAGAGATAAAAAAGAAATGGAGAGATGGCAACAATCAAGATGTCACAAAGGCTGCAGTTGGTGTCTCGGGGCCTGCGGAAGACCAGGCCTGTCAACAGTCAATCACAAATTAGGGAGGAGCTCACCGGACCCTAACCGTCCTTGCTGAATCATTGGCTACTGGGATTCAATAAATTATTATTGGATTCTGGGGGAGGGGCGGTCATTGTCTTCAGTTCAGTTCTATAGTCACTGGTGAGTCCACCAGGTTCCAATAAATCCACGGTCACAAACACATCCCTGTTTAAACTCAGTGAGTCACAAAAGAAGGTTAAAAGATATGAATGTGGGATAGGGACTCCTGGAAGGATAGGAAATTGATGGGGTGAGATGGAGAGGACAGAGGGTGAAGAAGGAGAGTTATCAGAATGCATTATGCACATTTATGAAATTGTCCAAGACCAATTTTAGTACTAATAGTTATATGAAAATTATGGCTTCATAATATGATAATTCTTCCTTGAGACATTCACTGCATTGTTCTTATTTTACTTGTCAGAAAACCACTGGTGATTTTTATCATGGGTCGACAACAGAGAAGGAAAATCGTAATCTGTACAGTCCTACAGGCTATGAGATGTATTAGCTAAGTTTTGAGGTCGCTAGGTGCTGCAGACCTTCAGCACGGTGGCTTGAGTCCAATGTCCCTCTTTGTCATTTCACTTCATTTATTATCATCCCACCTCAGATATCATCTAGAAATTCTAAAGAAATTAGTGTTCAGCTTGACTTTTTCAGTCTTCAGAATTTTTTAAACTAAACTAAACTAAACTAAAATCTCTTCGAGTGAAATGAAAGTATGTCAATTAGGATACATGAAGTAATACATTATTCATAATATAATTAAGTCTCATAAGAAAACCATTTTTTCCCAATACAAAATAAAACTTGCTCATTATTAAATAAGAATTTTCAAGTCAACTTTTCTTTCTGGTACAAATCATTTTACAAAATAAAAACTACAAGAAGCAGGAGAGCTCTGCATTATCATATTGTGGATTACCCAGCTGAAAGGAGAATGAAGTTTGAAATAGAGAATCACTCCTGATGTCAATTGTTTCAGACATCAAAGTACCATTGTTGAATTGCAGTTAAATTTGAAAAACATCATCTGTCACTATTACAAACTGATTCTGCTTTGAGGAATGCTGCTCATTTCCTTTGATGGAAGATTATCATATAGTTTTACTTAAATCTACCAAATTTAATGGAAAACTTTCTGTGTGATCATACCTTTCAACATAGGAGAATAAAACTATGGCTGGAAACTAATAGACTCTTTTTCTCAGGGAATAAATCACTCCTCAGCTCAGTACTGTAGTTATTAATTTGAACTTATTTATGATATTGGAAAACCATAAATTATTGTCACCAACAACCTCACATTATTAAAACTGCAACTTAAAATCTGAATTTGCATGTTAGGATCCTGGAAATGTCCAAGGGTACAAAGATTTGAAGTTGAGAGTCACACTTTGCAAGATCAGAGGAGTGTATCAAATTTCATTTTAATTAGTTAATGTTGCTCAAGCTTATTAAGAAATATGTTCCTTTAAATACAAGGAAATCTGGAAACCCTATCAGCTCTTCCCTGACCCAACCACATAATAATGAAATGAGTCTTTAGCTCTGTACAGGCTGCCTGGCTTCTCCTGGCATGGAAAATGAGAACTATTGCTCACGGTCCTGGGAATAGGATGCAGAAATAGTGCAGCCTGCCTCTCCAGCAGGCATGGAAGTCAACTCTTCCCTCATGCTTTGTTTGGAAGAAGGCCTATCCTTGCCCAGACAAAGTGCTGCAGTTCACTGTCAGCTGTTCTCCAGATGGAGTCACTATCTGTAGTTGGGACTGGCCTTGTGCTCTTCTACCTCCTTTCTGGAGTGAATTCCTGCACGGGATCACCTCTGCCATTGTTAAATGCATGAGTTCTCTCTTTTCATTTTCTACACTTTCCATTCTTGCTAATATTTTCCCTATAACATGTCAAACCCTTTTCTAATTTTAGTTAATTCATCAAAATAGGTATGAATTTTGCTGTTCTATATTTCTAAACAGAAAATCTAAGGCTTGCAACTTTCTTTTCTTACATTTTCCCAAAACTAGATAAGAATTAAGGACAGCCCTAGGTTCAATGTGTTCATGTCCGTGTTCATTCATCCTTTAAACTTCCCCTGATTGATTATTGATTGATTATTTATATGTGTATGAGTGTTATGCCTACATGTATGTAGGTACAGCAGTGTCGTGCAGTGCCCATGGAAACCAGAAAAAGGCATTAGATTCCCTGGAACTGTAGTTACAGAGAGTTGTTAGCCACCACGTGGGTTGTGGCATTTGTACCTGGGTCCTCTGCAAGAGCAGTCAGTGTTCTTAACTGCTAAGCTATCTCTCCAGCCCCATACTTTTATTTGTGTTTATTTGAACTCTACTTTCTATTTGCATGGCCTCTTCCATACAGCTTTCCAAGTAATATTTATAAATCATCAGCCTTTTAATTCACTCAAAATTTCCAGACAGTCTCACTTTTTTTATAGCAAGAAATGAGAAACACATTTTTTTCATAAACTATTATGATTTGATATAAAGAACATCCTTGGTTTCCAATTGGTAGCCCTATTTTGCAAGGCTATGGAAACTTTAGAGTCAGTCACTGGAGATGGAGCCTCGTGTGTATTTTATCCATGCCCAATTTCTATCTCTCACTGTTTTCTGGTTCACTGTGACGTGAGCAGTTGTTCTCTGCCACAAGATCCTCCACCATGATATTCTGCTCAAATACAAAGTTCCAAACAACCATGTAATGAACCCTACGAAACTATGAGAAAAACTAAATCTTCTCTACCTTAGTAAGTTTCTATAACAAGATCACAGTTATGGGAAAGTAAATAATGCGCAAATGAAACTCTGTACCATGGAATTCAGGATCGGTTGGAAATATATGTTCGGCTGTCTACTCCATGTGTTCTCTAAGCCAAACCATAATTCAAACAGAACATTTCATTTTAAAACATAGTTTGTTGCTTCAGACAGACTCTCCTTCATATCTATGAGTCCTAGGGAAGTTCTATGAATTGCTAGGTGATGGCTCTCTACCTGTGTAACTTCTATCCTCTACCTTAAAAGAAATGAACACAGCCACTTAACGCCATGCCTAGAATATCAATAGGACCAATAAATGGTAATACAAAGAGATATTATAATCAATGCTGTCATTATGTTATAATTATGTAAACATACTTGTCCCATCAAAGAATCTTTTTTTCTTTCCCAAATGTGTCATTTGAAATCCTAGCCCTGTTTCGGGAGTGCAGCCTTGCTTTCATATGAATGCTTCTTTCACTAAAGCACTAAAGGGTGCATCTCTCATCTGTAATCTATCTAATGGTATGTCACATTACTGCCTCACATTCACTAACTATTGACTTTTCTTTTGCTTGTTTATTTTTCATAGTAAATTCAAAGATCCTTGAGTGAATACCTCCTGATTAGGTATTCAGGAATTTCAATGGCCACATTTAAAAAAAAGAGGAAAACTCCTCCCGTATACTTTGATAGTCTTCCTCCTCCTCTTCCTGATGAATGGGTTTCCTAATACTTGTCATGAGTTCTAAGGCCTTAAGTCTGTCTTCATTTTTTAAAAAAAATGTTTTTAGGTATCAGGCAAGATGCAAAATTAGGTATGTTCCAAAAGAAAAATTTCTGTCATCATAATAAAGCGGATCCTTGCAAAGTTATGAGATGGTATTTGAGGCAGTTGTTGGAAGCAGTTGACATTAACGGACTAATTACACTCCAGAACCAAACTTGTTGTCAGAAAGAGTGCCTTTAATTTTTCTTTTTCAATTGCTGGATTATTAATGGAAGTTTATCCAGGGTTTGACACAGTATATAATTCAGAATATCAGAAATGGTGTAGGTTTCT